CATATTTGCCTGCATTGAATTTCATGTGCCTTTGAACAGCAAGTATTCAGCCTCCTATGGTCTTTCTGCAATTCTTCACAGATAGCACTGGTCTTTACCACCCTGACTAATCTAATACAATGGGAAAGACTTGATACTTCACTATTTGTCCCTTCTCTAGAATTACACCTTTTTACAAACTCAGTTAATCCGAGTATTTTATTATCTAACATTTGATTGAAATACATTTCTAATTAAGATTACCAGCCAGAAGTGAATTCCTGTGCTCTGAAAGTCTTTTAAAATGCTTCTCGCTATATAATTTTTAAATGTCCCAATGAATGCTGTAGTAAGTTTGTCATAAATAAGTAGCTTTAAAATACTGCTAAAATTTTACAGGTGAAATGTTCAGAATGAAGAAACATAAAATAAGACTTCTTAAAGCAAAGATGGTGACAGTTTTCAGACTGAAATTAGAGACTAATGCATTCCACAGAATTCTTACAGACCTGGGAGGCTCTATGTGGCAGTGTAGCATTTTATGTAGAGTTTTTCATAACCCTGATAACAGTGTACTAAAAACCGAGCTGAATGCCAATTATAAGACAATTTGCCTGCATTTCTGTGGTCTTCATACTGAGTAAAGAAAAACATTACCCAGTCCGAAAAGCTGTTGACTTTTGGATGTTTCCCGATTACTCCTAGAACCCATTCAGGCCTAACAAAACACATGAAAAATTGGGAAGACAATACTTTCCTAGAAATAATTACACACTTTATACTTCTATCTACTGTAAGAAAAGACTATTAAAGTCTCCCACACAAAATTTGAGCAGCTGAAATTAAATCAAACTGTCTTGGTAATGTATAATTGCATCATCTTGATAGGGTTTAATTATCCTTCTAAAGTCACTTTGTAGCCTTATATCATATAAGAATTGTCTGATATCTGGCACAGAGAGTCCTGTTCAAAAATTGGAAACTAATCTGAACCAAAAAGATGACAAAAACATCTCCTGCTTGGTCTCTTGCAGAGTTTACAGAGATGACAAAGTGCTGATTCTGGCTGTGGAAGTACATTTATTTATGCCAAAATACCCTTGCTAAGATAATTCACTTGAATATATATACATAAATTGATATATATAATTAGATTGTTGCCTTTAGAATGTGAGACACTGATATACTCAAACACCAAAGACTGATTACACTGCCACAAAACTGGTGATTTATACCGGGTAGCATATGTACAACATTGTCAAGTGCGAAAGCTTTTGATTTTCATTCACCATTCTCAAACAGAAACATCAAAGCTTCTATATGAGATGTTGCCACTCTTTTTCTTCCCCAAGTTTTCTCTTATTAATTTACAGAGGGGAAAAAAAAATAAACATAAAAGGAAAAATCAAACTAAAGCTCCTCTTTAGGAGAGAACTTTTAACATGCACTCACTTCAGTGATGAAGGATGGAAGGGATACAAAGAATTCATGCTTCCAATCAATCTAAATTCAGACTCACAGAACCACGGCCAATACCATGAACCAGAACTGCACTGGGCTGGTGGTCATTAAAATACCTACAACATCTTGATTTTCAATGTCTTTACTGATAGGAGAATACTTATTTGGAATCCACAAAAAACACTATCTTCAGTATCAGCTACTGATCAATAGGTACCAAAAATGGTGTGTCATTTGCCTCTCTGAAGAAGGAAATGCAAGCTTATTTATTGAGTAACAAGTTGTGTAACGGAGCAGGAACTCTCAGCACAGCTGATTCTGAAAGCCCACCACTGCCAGCTTCCTTGCCAGGGGTCCCCGCTTTCCTGCAGTAAAAACTTTGCTCACTAAGAGCAAATGAGTGAGAAATGGTACTGCTGTCTGCCCAAAAGCCTCAATGAATTCTATCAAAATAACTCACAGAAAATTACTTTCATCATTTCAGCATCTGTGCTGACCTTTTTCCCAGCAAGAGGCTGAGGACAGGGCTAGCGGCACTTTGCAGAGCAGCCCTGTGCAGCAGTGCTGGGATTGGAAAGTAAGAAGCTGTGAAAGCACTCTGCTGGCTGTAAATGCTCTGAGGGAGACCGTTGCCTTTTTGTATTGTGACTATGCATATTCCATCAGGTAGAATGCTTTCCACTTATATTTGCCTATTCCGTCAGGAAGAATGCTTTCCACTTATATTTGCCTTGATCATTTCACTGTTAGATTGGATTTAAATGTAAGTTACTCAAACACTGACTCCACTAAAATGTGAAATGGAGTCAAAATCACATCCATCACAAGTGGTGAATCATCTTCGCATTAGACATTCAGGTTTAACTCATTTGCCCGCTGCAGGGATATCATTCTTTACTGCTAAACTTTCCCATTATTTAGTCCCTGCAATGGGACAAAAGCTTTCAGTGAATGAGTACAGTTAACCGTGAGCAAAACATGAGTCTGATCCCTTTCCTGACCCCAAATTTGCCTAACATCCATACTTTTTTCACATCAGCTCATATTTACATACAAACATATGGTGAAAACATTCCTACACTAGAAAGCTCAAGCACACTTCACAAAATCACACGAAATCATAGGTGTTGGAAGGGACCTCTGGAGATCATCAAATCCAACCCTCTGATAAAGCAGGTTCCCTACTGTAGGTTGCACAGCCTGGAGCTGAGAATGCTCATGTACTTTCAGGCATACTCTGAAGACTTCTGGCCTACCATAAGCAACAGGGATGGAAGGACACTGCATTTGATACATTTTTGAGACTGTTTTAATCTTGCAGCCAGAACAAACCTTGAGACTATCCATCCTACTGAGAGGGCTTGCTTGCTCTGAAAAATTTCACAGGCAAAAAAGATGGCTCTGACTCACCAGACTCAGTGTTGAGGTCAGAGTTTGGCTGAAAGAATTAAATCAGTTGAAAATCTTACTCATCAACTGCTTCCTATAATTAATTTCATTAATTTACACTTCTAGAGATTCATGATGCAATTATTAAGGCTGGTACAAATTAAGAGTTAATGGAAATGCGTACATCTGTCAGCACCAGAAGAAACAGCAGAGCAAGGAGTTAAAAGAATGCCCTTTATTCATAATAAAGGGCACATTTCAAGGATGTTGTTTATGTCAAGATCATCGTACAGTGGACTTGCCAGCAGATGACCATGCTCTCTGACACAGGGAGGACAGCATCAAGGTTGCAGCATATCACCTATTTCATTACTTTTCCTGTTAGTACAGACCAGAAAACAGACCATGAGATGATGACTCCAAAGGGCATAAAAGATCTGTCCATAAACTAGCTTGTCATTTCCAATCAAAAAGAACCACAGATTAAAGAGAAGGGCTCGGCAGCTGACATACTTTGTTCCAGGCTGCACATGAGTGAGGCTCATCAGACCACACATTCTTGTGCTTGTGAGAGCGTTGCTGTGAGTGTGACTAAATGAAATCTATGAGATGGTGATGATGAATAGGTAAGATCGGTTTGCTTGTAGATTCTGTAAAAACGATGTAAATATTCCCTTCCCTTTCCAAAATGTTTTGCTTTGAATTTTGTTACACAAAATCTAAATATTAAACATTACATGATATGAAGTCTTCAAAAAAGTAGCAATGTTCTGTACTTCCCCAAATCTACGCAAAGAGAAGAAAATCGGCCTTTTTGTTTCCTCACTGAGTCCATTCTGCAGTCCACCTTCAAGATGAAAAGTGACTTCTTTACTGAAATATTAATGCCAACATTAGCTACATCTCACTACATTAGCTGTGTCTAGCATCTAGCTATGTATAGCAGCATCTGTTTGCCTCTTACAGACGCTTAGTTCTGACACATCTATTAAAATTTGTATGAGTAAGTGGTATTCTGCATTACACCTGCACACTTCCAGGGCAAGTCCATTAGTGTTACTTACTACAGAACACAGAAAATACATGGTTAGTATGTACTTACGTGCTTGAGTTTGTTTGTTTGTTTGTTTGTTTTATTATTTTCTTTCAAAAGATATGTATACAAAACCTTAGAGAAAGAGAGCATGTTCTGAATAAAATTTAAATAAAATGTCATCACCAGCTTGCCACCGTGATTAAAAAACTAAACTTCAGAAGACTCACAGCATAAAAGTTGCAGTGTTTTCTTACTTGAAGTTAAAGAAAGGGAGAAAAAGACGGTGTTTTAAGCATTTGGCTATTACTGATGTTACATAATGCTGTAGCAGACATTCATTTATCATATTTATAATACCAATATAGATGTAATATAAATATTTAGTAGACTTATTTAGTAGAAGCAATGAAAGCTTCAGAAAACATGGAAAATATCTCACTAACATCGCCTGTAGCAGAGAGAGGAAATTCTGAATTCTGGGCCATTTTTGGAATTCCTATAGAATTTACCTATTCTAAGTTCTAAATGACTTCTTAAACTAACATAGCCACCATACAAACACTTTAAAATTAATGAAGAGAAACAAGCACTTCCAAAAGATGACTTGTCCATCCCAGTTCAGGCTGACATGAATGAACCTCTGAGAAGTAAATGTGAGATTTTTACAGGTTTGTTCCTCTGCTCTGGACAAAAGAACACAGATCATGTACTACTAAACAGTGGAATATTCCTTTGAGGTTTTCATTAGTTTTCCTCTTACTGAATATGTGGATGCTAAAGTTCAAGTTCATCCTCAGTTAAGGAAATCAGAAATGAGTTATTAAAATATTTACATAACGTCCAGATTTTAAAGTCTTTTCCATGACCTTCTTGCTGACTTTTCACATAAAGTACTTTAAGTCTTCCAAGTTTTGTATTTTTTAAAAAATTCACTTTTCTTTAAAATCTGACAAAGCAAAATATAAATCAAATTTTCATTTGTGCTAAAAGTTGACTCTTCCCTTGCCATCTTTCCTCTTCCATACTTATGCTTATACTGGAAAGAAAATACTCCATAAAAGACACAAAAAATACTTTCTAAAACAAACTATATATATATATATATATATTAATATCTGGGAAATAATGACTGTACCTATTATAACGTGCATGCCAAGTCTTGCCAAATGCTTCACAGTATGGTAACCAATTCCTTTAGCACCTCCAGTCACTATAGCAACCTTTCCATTTTGTGTAGGGAAAACTATAGGAAAAAAAAGAAATAATGCAAAGTTAGGTCATAGCAGTAACATGATTAAGAACTTAAGATGCATCTGAAAGAGACACGAGACACACACTTAACAGTCCGTCCATCGAAAATATTGCCTTAATTTTGTTAAGGAGTAGCCTGACAGCTGTTAGAAGTCAGCTTGGCGACTGTTTACTTCATGTAAAAATTCAATTGGCAGCATGAAATCCTGCAAAGTTCTTGCATGACAAAGAGCAGAGTCCAACATTTGCTTCGCCAGGAGCATGGGACACAGTGAAGAGCTCAGCCAAAGCAGACACATCCACGCAAAGGGCAGAAACCAGTCCACCTAATTTAATTGCATAACTGAGTACTCTGCTTGTGGAAAATCACAGACTTCTGGTCCCCGAAGAAATGAGAACATAATTTTTGCATTATACAACAGATCTGCTTTTTCCATCCACCACAGCCCTCACTGCAGAAGCCATTTTTGACACTCACATAGAATTCCCCTCTGCACATGCCTTTGACCACAAGGCAAGAGATGGTCAGATAGGTGGAGCACAGGCCCTAAATCCATCGTGTGAAGATTAACCCTTCTGCCCCCAAAGGAACCAAAAGGTGGTGAAATGCCCACGTCCCATACTGATGCTGGGAGTGAGGTGCTTTGGCCCTTGTCACGGTGCTAATGATGGGCAGGAGTGCGGCAGCCTTGCTCAGACGGGACCTTGTGAGGAGGTCAGGAAAGTAGAATCCCAGAGTCCTGCAGTTTGGGAAAGACCTTCAGGATCACCAAGTCCACCCTCCCTCCAGTCTACCAGGTTGCAACTCTAATCCCATTCCTCAGTGCCACAAAGGTGAGCAAGGTGCACGGATGCAGGCTGCACAGCTCAGCCTGGCAGGAAGCCTTCCTGCTCTACAGGAAAGCAGGAGCACTCCAGCCAAGTGGGAGCAGAGGCTCTCATCTGTGAGAGGTTTCATTTAACTGTTTGGGTAGGCATAAATCAGGTCAAATATCAAATATGGTTTTTGAGGAGGTGGCAGATCTTTCATGTGAATCCCCTGTGGTCTTTGTGCTACTGAGGTGAGTTGCTGTTTGGTTTTTAGAACAAGCTGCTAGATACTTGTACAGGGAAAACGGCGCTGAATATTTCCTTTTGCCATGGTATAGTGGCTGCAGGCAATATTATAGATAACAAATGTTAAGTAGATGCTGACTTTCATCTATCAAAGGATTTTCTATTTTGATTTCTAGGTTTTTAGGGGATTTCTTTGTTGTACAACATAAACCCGTATTTCGCATAGTTATGAAAAACAGAACTAGCATGGATACAAGCTGCTTTCTTCACAGCAACTCCCAAATTTCATCTTTTCTTAAACACATATCTATTTTTAGTGTACTTCAACATGAATTCCTGTTCTCTTCAGGTAACTGTTTTATTCTTTCCCATGTAGACTGTGAATTATTTGCAATTATTTGAATGTTAATTCCTACTGCAATGACATCCATGCATGCTTGTGTCCTCACAAATATAGGTTGAGCTAAACAAACCATGGTCAAGAGTTTTCCTAAAAGTTTTCAATTAGATACATTAGCAGCCCTGCAATTTCTACCAAAAACATTGATCGTAATGAATGGTATATAAAAAGTCTACATTTTTTCAATAGTTAGGTTTAGATATCAAAGCTATGCCTGCTATTAAATGCTTGGCTAGATTTCCCATTCTGTGAAGTCTTTTCCAATTGTTTACTACTTTACCAATCTTAGCTTTTTTTAGATTGTGTTTTTCTGGTTTGTCTTCTGTCAGCGACACGTACAAAAACAACAACAAAAAAATACTTTTGCAACAGAAAATAAATTCTTTTAAAGAGGAAGAAAAATAAAATGCTTGTAGTGTGATCCAAGCTGTCATCACCTCTATGTGACTAGTCCTTGTATGTGACTGAATACATTTTAAATTTGGCAAGGACATAACCTTCAGTCCCTTTTGCAGTGCTCCAATGATCCAAGTCCTGAAAAAGGGAGGAGAATATGCATGTGTTGTTCAACTTGGGTGGTGTTTTAGACTACAAGAAAACACAATCTCTTATACCAGTCGTGAAGGGGACAGGTCTTTTACCCAGCAACAAGCCATAGTTGTCACAAGGCAGCAGGCAACTCCAAAACCAATGAAAAGGACAGAAACAATATGGAAAAGAGCAAAAATGGCCTCAGAACTATTGGAATTGTGAGGAGGAGAACAGCAAAGAGGCTTTTCTCTAAGCAGTCTGGCAGATACTCAAATGTCTGGATTTTCCAGGACTCCTTCAGCTTCTCCAAGAAGGAAGTCTATCATTTCACTGTGAAAAAAAAGGTGAAATACAACCTTCCCAATACCCACGTTTCTTATAACCCAGTTCAGGTTTGTTAGCTCAGAAAGTTAAAGGCACTTAATAAGCACCTCTTACAAACAAACACTCCTTAGTCCACCTTAGTCCACACCAGAAAACCCATTATAAGGTGCTTCCTGAAGGGTTGAAGAGGTTTAAACACAGACAAGGCGTATTAGCATTGCTTTCTTGCTAAAGCAGGAAAGGTTATTTGTGGTCGAGACAGTAGCATGTACAAATCCTGCATGTAGCAGAAGTGTAAATACTCACAGAAAAAATGCCCACGAAAAAGCAAAAATGTCAGCTTACTAATCCACCAAGTAGTTATCTTCTGAGTACTAATTAATCCAATCATAAACTGTATTGATAATTGAGCTATGACAACTCATAAGGCAAGCTGCATGAACAGAAAGTTTGCTTCCTTCCCCATATCTTCTCCTTCCTGCTTATTTTTTAATCCTGTTTTGCATGCGTGAACCTGGAGCAAAAAGGACAATGAAATCATTCTCATTTCTGTTTGTTTCACTATAGCTGAAAAACAGCAACAACAACAAAAACATTCAATCAAGAAAATAAATTACTTTCACGTAGGTCTGACTATCTTCTCTCCCAACTCCCTGTATTTCCTCTTGCTTTTCCCCTCTAACCACCTCGTCACCACGAGATTTGGATTTTACATGTTGCATGTACACACTATTGCTCATTTTCAACTACTGCTCCACTATATCTATCTATTGAACAAAAGCTATATTTCATTTCAATGCAAAATTAATCCTTTTAAAACAAAATGGGAGAAAGAAAAGGAGAAAAAGCAGTTAGGAATGGGGAGGAGCTGATAAGATGAAGGAAAGGGGGAAGCCAGAAAAGCAAAGTGACAGCAGGTATTGCTATGACAAAGTAGTGTTTAGCAGAGGACAGTAAAAGAAAATGTTTGGTCCAATCCTGTTCATGAGGGCTGCAAAGAAAATGACAATATTTGTTCCCAACAGGCACTCAAACCAGGTACATTAGCAGCTTGCAAGGAAAATCACAACAGAAATACATCCTTTCCTGAACAAATAATGGAGATCATCACAGAGCATTATATAACAAGGCTGTTTGTATCATACAGCTTCAAAGACCTAGGAAGCACCCAGGGAAGGAAAAATGAGAGCTGCAGACACGTATGTAAATGGCCAGTATCCATTTTATTTACATGTATGATATACAACTTCCAGAGAACTTGGTTTTGAATAGACGGAACAGTACATCTGAGTTCATTTAATTCCAAATGAGAAACATAAAGGGTCCATTGAAAACTGAAATACGAAGTCTGGGAAAAAAAAAAAATTAACTCTCCCAAATTATTAGGTTTAATTTTTTAGATTGAACTTAAGTTCATTTTAATCTGTGAAAAAGGTGTACTGTTTCCAACCAGATAGCTTAATGTACAAAGAATCAGCATGAGGACAAAGCACTGCTCATGTTACAACGTCTACAGCCAAGATCAGAACTCAGGCTGAACGTGCAAGCCCAGTATACAGCCCCAGTTCAAACCAGACTGCATCAATGTGTGCTTTTTCACAACGATCACACAGAATTTGAGAAACACCTTTTCATTGTGAAAACACATTTTCCATAGTGAATCACAATATAAAACTTTCAAAACAGCCCCAGGCGCTGCTGGTTTCCCAGCAGATGTTGCTTTATGTTGTGTGCCAGCTGAAGCTGAGCTTGGCCAGAGGCAGATGAGACCCTAAGGGGGGCCTAAACGTTCTTTGGCAGTTTCTTCACCTCATTTAAAACATGGAATCAAAACATCCCAGCTCTCCCTCTGCTTCTGTTCCTGGTAAGCAGGTAGATACTGATCTCAATTACAGGCCTGCATCTCCAGCAATTTCACTGTGGGACATGAGAACCACACAGCCCTGGTGCTAATGGGAAACCCTGACCAAGCACTCACTGCTCATTTCCCTTTGTGTTCGAAGAAACTAGCCTGAGGTCTTTAAGCTCTTATTTATCAAGCCAAATTCTTCTCCCAGGCTGATGGTTCTGTCTACACCTCAAAGTATTCAGAAGAAATAAGCTTATCTACTTTGCAAGTGGATTAAGCTAAAGCAGAAAAAGGCAGTGTTATTCTGTAATAAATATGTCCCAATATGAAGCTATCTTAAAATAACCAATGTCATTTTAAAATATACTTTTCCCTAATCTGAAATAACTTCCTTGCACAGACAAGTCTTCACACACAGTTGATGACATGATGAATTTAAGGCAATTCTGTAATTTTAAAAAATACTAACTTTTGAGAAGCTCCTAAAAAGGGTTGTCTATGCAAGCACTAAGACCAAGGAGGAAAAAAATAGAATGCAGACCTTCATTACCAACAAAATTCAGCTGAGGTAGAGGTGGAAGTAATGATGCAGACAAATCAGAACAGAGGCATTAAACCAATTGTCTTCTTTGCAGAAAAGTGCTATGTAAACACAGACAAATCCTCCCAAAAAAGAAATCTTCTTATAAGTTCTTTGCCTGTTTCAGGCAATATATACGTATATATATAAACTTTACTATGAAGTACAAAGCAAACTGCATCAAGTTTTTATCTAAGTCCTATCTCCTAACCTATTAATCCAGCATCTGCTTTTGTCGAATATGATGAGTCA